TAGTTTGCTTAAATGTAGCTGCTGCTAATAGCACAGGTAACAACTTGGCAGGGTCCATTTTACATTTGCTGAGCTTCTTTTGTTCAAATTCAGCTGTGCTGGGAAAGTTTTTGCAGGCGATATGGTTAAAAGTCACAGCATAAATTTCCTGACTTGATGAAAAGACTGTGACCCCCTCAGAATGGTGTTGTTCATTGGAAAGAAGATAGGTAATAAAGAGTCTCCTGTGTGAGAAGAGTAGGAGGAACCTGCTGTTTTAATTTTGTTCACAGCAGTGAGCCAAACTTTGTTCTTTCTGTGCTGGCTTTGATAATTGCTTCAATATAATATAGGAATTCAGTTCATTGCATATCTTTGGCTTTATAACTGTTAATGGAATAGCCAGGAAGAGTGCAAAGTCTCCTGCAGGAACATACAGTAAATAAAACTGTTAACACGTTCCAAAGAATTTGAGGTCAGATTTTAAAGGGGCCTTGACCTAGTGTCTGGGAGGTTCCATTTTTTTGCAAATAGTAAATGAGCATTGTCGTTTGATGTGTAAATGATAGAATTTACTGTCCAGTTGCATGAGCAACTGGGATTTGCTGGTTTAAATTGTCACTTGCTTTAGTAACATATGCATTTCACTTCATTCACACAACCAACAAGAAATCAGAGTTTATGGGGGTGAAGTCCAGGGTATTCAAAGGATGTGAAAACCGTGTATCTTAGAGCCAGAACATAGGGCCATAGAGCAGCTGCTCTATCCTATGAAGTAATTGCAGACTTCAGCTCTTTGTCAGTTACAGAAGCTGCTAGGGCCACTATAGCCATGTAATTGTCAGGCATGTGTAATTATTAAAGATATGAATAAACATTTTACCAGTTAACCTTAGTGGGTGGGGTCTGGAGCAGCTCCCCCTCCTGCCTCAGGGAGGGGGCTGCTCCAGCTCCATGGGGGCTCACAGCAGGCAGGGGCTGCTCCAGCATCCTAGTTGGAGCAGCCTCTGTCTTCAGGGGCTTCTACACCTGGGACACTGGAGCAGCCCCTATCTCCAGGCTGCAGGCAAGGTATGCTCTGGCCAGGCTGGAGCAGCCCCTTCCTGCGGTGGTGGGGGTGGCTGCTCAAGGCCTACAGCAAGCTGGAGGGAAACATGCTCCAGACAGACTGAAGTGAACCCCATCCCCACCCTTCCTCCCGTTTAGTCAGTTAACTACTTACATGGGATTTTACAACCCTTGTAATTATGAGTCTGTCAACTCCTTGTCTGTTCTACATTGGGCTGGCACAGAGACCCCCTCCAAGGCAAAAGTTCAAGTACTACAGCAGTGGTCACCAACCAGTAGATCGGGATCGAACAGTAGATCTTGGAGCCTCTGACAGGTGATCCTGACTGGTTTAGCCAGGAAGCTGTTGAGTGCTGGCACTTCAGTTGCCCCTCTACCCACTGTCATGCTGCTCCTGCCCTCTACCTTGGAGCTGCCCCCCTGGGAGCCTCCTGCTTGTTTTGCAGGGTGTGGGAGGGTGCCCCTCCTCCCCCCACTTCTGTCCCCTGTCTACACTCAGAGAAGGGGATGGAGGGAGCTCGTCAATGCAAATCTCTGTCACTCTCACACTGTGGGTGTATCTGTCATTCTCACCAACACACACACTGTCCTTTTCTCTCATTTCCCCCCACCCAACACCTACGTGGGGGGTTGTTGTTACTTCTATTACTACTTGCAAAGTGGGTTAGTTTGGGGTTTTGACTGTCCCTGCCCTGAACCACCTCCTACCCGAGATGTGAGTCCCCTTGTATCCAAACTGCTTCCAAGAGCTTGCACCCTGAAACTCCTCCTGGACCCCAATCCTCCGCCCTGGGCTAAGCCTGGAGCCCCTCCCTCGCTCCAAACTCCTTGGCTCAAGACCAGAGCTGGCGCAAGTGAGCAAGGATAGGGGAGGAAGAGGGATGGAGTTAAGCAGGGTGAAGCAGAGGCAATGCCTCAAAGAAGGGGCAGGAAGGAAGTGGGGCAAAGGGTATTTGGGTTAGAGGTAGATCTTGCATTGCACTTAAATTGAAAAAGTGGTCTTGTGGTTAAAAAGGTTGGAGACCTCTGTACTACAGGTAGCTGATACCTAGACTTGCACCAACAGTACATATGCAGGTGACTTGCATATCTACAGGCACACGTGGCCAAGTGGAGGCCATATTTTGCAACTTGATCTTTAATTTTAGGTTTGCCAGCTGTCAGAAGATGTATATTAAAATAAAAACCATACACTCATGATCCAGCATTAGTTGCTCATTTAACCAGGAGAATGAAAAAATTGTTTTTCTTTTACTTTTTCAGGGTGACCCTTTTTAGGGATTTGCATGATGGGACATGAAAACAATTATTTGGGGAATTTGTCTGGCTTCAGGAGTCTGCATAGTCTAATGTGCCTTTAAAGTCTATATGTTGAGCTGGCAGTAGAGATGCCAGCTTCTAATTTTCACTGGAGGTGCTCAATCCCCATTCAGCCATAGGCACCATTCCCACTCCACTCCCTCCCTTCCAACACCTCCTGCATGCCGTGCAATAGCTGTTCTGTGATGTGCAGGAGGTGCTGGGAGAAAGGGGAAGGAGTTGATTGATGGGGGCTACCATTGGGGTGCACTGGGAATTGGGGGGAGAGCTGGCTGCCAGTGAGTGCTAAGCACTTGCTAATTTTTCTTGGTGGCCGGTCCAACCATCAGTCACTCCTGGAGTCGGTGTTTAAGGCTGGTAGTGTAATTACCAGCTCCAGAAGATATACCCATACTAGCATCATTCAAGTTAGCCTACTGAGCATAGCTGCACCAGTGCAAGTGCGTAAGTGCTTGTCAGGTTGGTGCAGGTGTATCTCCTTAAGCTATAATTTACATCTCCAAATAGAAATGCATTCTGAGCGATCTAGTGTCCAATACCAAATCAGACATATTCCACTGACATGCTGTAAAGATTTTGTCCATCTATTTATAGGCCCTGAACCATGGCTACTTAAGCTTTAATCTTTGGGGGTTTGTTTCTGTAAAGTTGTTTTATTTCCCAAATGTTCACAGGTTTAGTTGTGATCTTCATTGGACATCTAACACCTGTTCAGCACTTTTTCTTCTTTCTTGGGAAGCGCTTCATTATTAGAGAGTTTCCCTTGGAGCTGTGAATGGGTCCTTCATTCAGTTCCTAACTGGAGAATTCTCTGCAGGATTCTCCAGATGGGGATAGAGGATTATCTTCTCAGAGCTCCGGAAGAAATGTGATGCCAAATTACAGAAAATAGATTCTTTTTAGTAAACTCTTGGTTCATTTACTCCTGTATCAAGATGAACTTGTATTAAAGGGATATGTTAGATTAAAATTTGTTTTAAAATAATATTTTTTTTAAATAATATTACCTGACCTGGGCTGCTAATAACATTTTAGATTATAAAAGCTGATGAAAGGACACTAATATGTAAATATATAGGGCTAGAAAAAAAAACAACAACCCCCGAGCAACGTAAGTTTCTCTGGCATAAGTGGTAGCTTGCACAGTGCTATATCAGCAGGAGAGCTTCTCCTGCTAGCCTAGCTACACCGTTCATTGGTAACAGTTTAATTATGTCACTGGGAAACCTCTCTCCAATCAGCATAAAGCAGTTATGTGAGAGCTGTTACAGCAGTGCATCAGCATCAGTACACCTGTGCTTCTTTCTGTAAGGTCTCTTGTGTAGACATAGCCTAACTTTGTCTATTAATGTTGTCATCACATAAACACAGTATTTGTTTTGTTTCTAGTTGCTTTAATTTTTCTGCAGTGACTAATTGTCTCAATAGCATGACTTGTTTAGTAGACAGGTATAAAGACAAGAACACACGTTTTCAGATTTTTCTAGTGATGTAAGTATGAGGCTAAATGCCTTTTTTAGGGTATAGATGCTCTCCTATTAGTGTTGAGAGGTGCTATGAGCTGGAGAGCCATATTTCAATCCCATGAGCGTTGCCTCAATCCCCTGTAGTGCTTGCAATCATGGAAGAGGAAGCATTCTTTTATTCTGCCTCCACATGCCCAAATGCTGGTGGGCTCTGGCAGCAAGCAGTATAGATGCTCGTTAGTGACCTTTTGGATCATAGAATCATAGGACTGGAAAGGATCTCGAGAGGTCATTAAGTCCAGTCCCCTGCACTCATGGCAAGATCTTGCACTATCTAGACCATCCCTGACAGCTGTGTGTCTAACATTTTCTTAAAAATCTCCAGTGATGGAGATTCCACAACTTCCCTAAGCAACTTATTCCAGTGGTTAACCACCCTGACAGGAAGTTTTTCTAAATGTCCAACTTAAACTCCCTTACTTCAATTTAAGCCCATTGCTCCTATCATCAGAGGCTAAAGAGGATAATTTTTCTTCTTCCTCCTTGTAACAAACCTTTAGGTACGTGAAAACTGTTCTCATGTGCCGCCTTGGTTTCTCTTTTCTAGACTAAACAAACCATGTTTTCTAGATCGTTAATCATTTTTGTTCCTCTTCTTTGGAGGGTTGGATTTTGGATGACTTGTCAAGTATTGTTTTACAGAGCGACTTCCATCTGAAGATCTCAAAATATTTTAGATACATGAATAAGTCTTCTTATAGCCCTATGGGTTAGGTTGTATCAATATTCCCATTTGACAGATGGGCAAAGGCTCAGAGAGGTTAAATGACTCAACTGTGACCTCACATGGAGTCAGTGGCAAAGCCAGAAATTGAACCCAGGGTCCTTGACTCCAAGACCTCTGATGTCACCATTGTCTCCATTCTGATTTTTGAATATCTGATGTAAATTTACAGTAGTGTATCTGATAACAGCAGTTAAATATAGACCAAGCATAGGAAGTGTCTCTCCTAGGAAGAGAGAGTAAAGAGTTATGGATGAATATTTTAATATATACAAATGATATACTGTATTGTACTGTTGGAAATGTTTATGGCTTGCAGCAATTTGATTACTATATTGTGAGGATGATGGTAGCTAATCCAGTTTTTTTTTTCTATCTTCTAGATCTACACACAATGAACTAGAGAAGAACCGGTAAGTAGCTAATGCACTGAATTCTAAGAAATACAAAGTCCAGTGAATGTAATATGTTTTAACATTATGCATGCAGGTGTGATTTTATCAGCTCAGAAAGCTGGGGATTTCCACCTTACACCAGTCAGGTTTAAAGTCCAGGCAAAGACTCAAAAAGATATAAAAAAGAAGCCCTTTTTTCCCCCCTCAAAAAAGGCAAGAAGTGACCTAGTTTTGCAACTAATCTGTATGCTGAGTAAATACTGTTCCTCTTCTCTGACACTGAAATCTGATTGGGTCATTGTCCCTACATGAGGTTGCTAAGGTATCTGGTTTCTTGGGCACTGGATAATACATGCTACCATGAACTGAAGGGCAGTGCTTTGCTCCCCCCTTCTTCCCCCAGCGCCTTGGCAGGACTGTAATATTCTCTGCAGCATAGAAGAAAATGCCATTGTCCAGAGGATCTGAAGTCTGGCTAACAATGTTCCTGTGGAGTGTCGTTCTCGTAACCTGTTTTAGGACAGAGTCTGTTTATCCTTGATTTGGAGTTTCAGCAAGCCCTGCAGTTTTGTTACTTGGCTAGATCTGCTATATGACTCAACCCTTTTGTAACAGGAGTTAAAGTAAGACAAATACCATTGAGACATGGGAGTTAGTTCACACGCAGATCAGATTATAGCATCGAAGTCAGGATGCTATAGTTAAGGTTCTGTCAGGGTTTCCATTATAAATGAACCTTGGGGTTTTTCTTGTCAATTGGAGCAGAAAGAGTCTTCTAGTCTTGTCTGCTTCTGTATTGTGGAAAAACCCACAGGGCAGGTTACTTTGCATGTACAGCCAAGTGCTTGTTGTTGCATCTTCCACACATCTTCCTCAGTTCATGGGGGAGGGCAGCATGGTTAATCTGGGGAACTCCAGTCCATGCTTGTTCACTGACCAGACCTAGAGAGGTGACATCTTCCACATTCTTAGCTCCCTAGGGGGTCATCGCACAATGCATACTGCCCTTGGTTCCTTACCCTCTGTTTATCTACAGAATTAATTTTGTTCTGTAAAGCACAGGTCTGGTTTCCTATGGTTTCACTCAAACCTTCCTTGTTGCTCGCTATTTGTAGGGCATAATTTTTATCACCCCAATTCTGCTATGCCCATAGTTACAGTTTGTATTTTCCACTTCCCCAGAATGAAAGCTACCACCATAAGAAATCAGACTTTTCTGAAAACCTGCTAATAGTGTTTCAACTCTGTTGCCCTAGTCAGTGCGGATCAGGGCTTGGTGTGTTAGAAACTTTTTTACAAGCCTCCCATGGTTTTCTTCAGTGGGGGGGGGGGACCTTTAAAGAATAGCCTTATAGACCTTATACCTAGATAGATGTGGCAACTATAGTACTTTAAACGACTCCTGTCTAGTATTTTCAGTGCCTGTGAGAATCTTCTGAACATGAGAAGTTGACACTCAGGTAGCAATGGGCCACTTTTTAATATTATTTTAACCTACAGTGGAAGATGCAGTGATGGGCAAGTTCAAGGATACATGAGTTGAGAACACCTTTTTTTAAATGATCAGTGGCATGAAAATTGTCATGAGGAATGAAAATTGGTGCATGTTTATTTAGGGACTCCTTGTTTCTTATTTTCATAATGGTTTTATTCAATGCTATGCACATATAACTGGGTACTGTTTAGACATCTACAAATATATAAAAACCAACTAGAAGCTGTCATTGCTTCCCAGTGTATATTAGTGACAACAGGACAATGAGTTGCATGCTAAAAGTATGTATTTCTGAGCTCCACAGCAGTTTTTTTTCCTGAGAAGAGTATTCTCTCTTCCAGTGTAGATTTTCATCACATTCTATTTGTAGTGTTTGTTTGTCACTGTCTCACAGACTTTGCCATGGCAAAGGTAAAAGCCTTGGTATTAATGGCTATAGCTCTGCATAGATATAAAATTTACATCTGTATCCGCAAAAATGAGCCATGGATATCGGCCTCCACATCTGCAGATGTGGGTACCCATGGATATAAAGCAGATATCCACAGATTTTCAAAACTCTACAAATGGTTTTGTTGCTGACAGATGCTATACAGATTATTCTTTTTGAATCTCCTATTGTATCTGTTGTTGACACACACAATTTTTAAAATTGTCCACTAATACATTCCTGACTTAGGTCTCTTCGCCCCACGCCCAGCAGTCTGTCTAGTGTGTGGTTATATTCTACTCTTAATTCATTCAGCAATTCAACAGAGTTGTTTTCAAATGCTGGCAGGAGTACTGGTTGAAAAAAGAAAACATTTTCTAATCCTTGTATTTAAACACACTGTTTTACTCTAGCTCAGTTTTTGCAGGGCTGAGGAAACTAGTTTATATGTGGATTATAATCTTGTTTCACTTTGATGTTTGAAAGCATTTGAATGTTAAAAGTGTAATGAAAATATTTGAGCTGGGAACCTACATTACTTTATTCTGGAAGATTGAAGGACCCACAAATAACACTTTGATTCTGATAAGGAGACTGTAGATTTGGTATCCACATAGAAACTGTGATATTCAAGTGATCTTTATTTTCCTACTGGGTTTTTTTCAGTTTCTTATGTATTGCCCTAAAGTTTATATCAGGTTTTTAAAATTATTATGTACAAATAAAATCAGGTTAATTTATGGTGATCTGTCTTTAATACTCAAGTTGGAAAATTTTGTGTTGGTGTGTTTTTTATTTAATGAGTGGGTATTTTGGTTTCCCTTTGAGATGAGTCATATCTTTCATACAAAGTGGAAACCAGTTACTGCTGCTTATGTGCACCAAAGTTCAGTCAATAGAAGAGTACATTTTACCTTCAGATTATTCAGTGATAAGGTTTAAAATCTTAGAGTATGCAATTATGGTTATCTAATGGCTAGTTGTTTTCGGCTTCTGTAATATATCTTGATTTTAGTTTGTTCCTTGCCTTTGATTATATGTCTTGAATAGTTTTGCCTTTAGACTATTGCTTATAATTTGGTAGGAATATACAAAGTTATTTGAAGTTTGGAGCTCATTTTAGGAAAATGTGTTTTTCATTGAAGTTAAAGAAATTAATAATTCATGGTCAAATGCTAAATTCCAAGTGCATGAGGCTTTTAACTCAGGAAATACAATAAAAACTCCTGCTTTCCTTGGGGAAAGTTATTTTGGGAGTTGTTTCAAAATAAGTTATTTTGAAATAATTTCCTAGTGTAGACATGCCCATAGTGGCTATTGCTTCAAAACTGGTTGGACACCATAGTAATAGAACATATGTGACCTTAAGCATTTTGAGTGTAGTGGGACTTAAACATGTACCTAAGTGCCTTTTTGACTAGAAATGTTTTCCTGAATTAGAAGCAAAGTAAAGAACTCAGGAGTTGACCCCAGACTGTCAAATAGTGAAAACAGTTAAAACTACTTACTCCATTCCAAAAGGCTGTGCAATGGATATATAAAGAGATTCCCAGTGAAAGCATGTTGATGCCAAAGGAAGTGTTCCCTCCTTTAAATAAAAGCACTTAGGTTGTTTTATAACAATCTTTCCCCCCCTCTCTCCCCTTAAACTCTGGCCCCTGAAGAAAAATTGGTCATTTGTAGAATAGAAAACTCTTGAAAAGCCAAATCTTGTGCTTTGAATGTAATTAGGATCCATTTGTGAAAGTAAGATCTCTGTTTTGCAGGTTTAAATATAAAAAATAAACTAGATTTGCTTAGTAGTAAGTCTACCGTTTTAAAGACAGCAGGAGTAACTGACATTCTGCTTTTTAGACATCTAGTCTCTGGCTCTGCTGGAAGGATGTGGTTGCTGTGGTGTGAACAAATGATTCATGACAGTGAGATAACTTCCTTGCTTCTTTGTAAAGTGGCAATTTTGGTAAACCAAACTGGTGATGTTGTTATCTGTTGGAACATCTATGTGCTAGGCTGCATAGGGTAAAGCTTACTGTTTTTTATGAAATAGCAGATTTTGTTTTAAAAATAAACTTAACTTTGTCAACTTTATATTTTCACACACACTTGACTGGCCTTTGTGTTTTCAGTGGTGAACCTTGCATCGTAGGGGTGAACAATGTATAAATGAGTGTCTGTCTGAGTCCACTCTAAAGCATTTGGAAGAGGAGAATTGCTAAGTGCTAAGCAGTCTTACAGAAATCATTGTATGAAATAAGTGGTGCTCAGAGGTGACCCGGCAAGGAGAAGCATTTGTGCCCTTTTTTGATTTATGAAGAAGGCCCAAAAGCTTTTTAAAATAGCTTTTGACTTGTTTTTTATTTTACAAATTAAGGTCTTGTTTCTCTTTCTAGACTCTAGGGGTAGCCAAGAACAAGAGGGATTATGGTACAACAAATACCCAGAAAGTAAAGCTGAGAAATTTAAATAGGGAGGGAATTGTTAACCACTCTTTGTTTTTGCTACCTGCTATTTAGGTCAAACATCTTAAAATACATTTTGGTGAAACGTTTAAATAACCCTCCACCTCCCTTTGAATTGAGGCCTTCTAAAAGCTTCTGCACCAGCTTCTCTGGTCCTCCAAGGATACTTCTGTTAAAAATGGAGAAGTGAGGTTTGATGTCACTGATGCTTTAAAAGTAAAAAGCCAGCAAAAAATGCTCCTTTTCAGAAAAATGTTGGTGAGGGGACATTTTCAGGAATTCATTATATATCATCAAAGAACAAACAAGGGTACTGGCTAGGAGACTTCAGATTTGGCTCTTCTTTCCTAAGCTCCTGTACAGCTGCTTCCATCTCCTTATTGAATAAGGCACAGGATTTGGGAGATAGAGGTTTAACCAAGAGCACCTTTCCGTGGTTACAGTTCTCCCAAATCCTAGGTGGAGTGTCTGTGATTACTCTTCCAGAACAACAGTTATAACTGTAGAGACCCAGTTTACATTGCTCAGAGATACTGAGCCTAGACTATCAGGTCAAGGCAACCATGTAGAAAGAAAAGTTACCAGATATGCTTGGCACTCCTATGAGGAATTGGTGTAGAAAATCTATTCATCC